GTCTTGAACTTGAGATGCTCCTCTCTCAGCCTCCTAAGTTCTGAGATCGTGGGTATGTGCTACCACTTAAGCTCAGAAATCATTTGCTTCCCTGAGAGACTGTCTTAGTTAGGGCTTTCATTGCTGAGAGAAACACCATGACCAAAAATAGACTGGGGAGGAAAGGGTTTGTTTGGCTCACAGGATCGTGGCTCATCACTGAAGAAAACCAGAATAGGAACACAAACAGGGCAGGATCCTGGAGGCAGGAGCTGATGCAGAGGCCATGGAGGAGTGCTGCTTACTGGATTGCTTGCCCTGGCTTGCTCTGCCTTAGTCTTTATAGAACCCAGGACCACCAGCCCAGGGAAAGCACCACCTGAAATGGGCTGGGCTCTCCCTGATCAGTGACCTACAGCTGGATCTTATGGAGACATTTTGTCATTTGAAGTTCCCTCTTTTTGGATAACTTTAGTTTGTCAAGTTGACATAAGAGTAGCCAACACAGAGCCCTGCGTATTAAACAAGAGACCTTGTGACTTTAACATATAAACACTCAACAGTTATCTTTCTGAAGCTGCCACTGTACAGTCTACAGATGTGACACAGAGCCAGTGGTGGTGACTGTAGCTTGTGCTGTGACGATCACTCCACAAGCCGCCTGGCTTCCAAGGGAGCAGAAGTGAGGTGCTCTGTGCCCAGCACGGCACTTCCTCCTTTATCCATAAGAGGATCCTCCGGGCTGCTCAGTGGGACACGCTCTGGTCTGTGCCAGCATCGGAGCTCCTGTCTTGAAACCCTAAGCACTAAATAGTAATGCCTTTTTGACATCACCAGTTGCTTTGAGCTCCTGTGGGCCCCAAGGTCGTGATTTTAATTGCCCCTGCTTAGAAATGTATTTACTTCGTTTCTGATCTTCACTGGCGTCCCACAGAGTCACGCAGTGCTCTCTCACTTCTCGCTGTACTGAGTATTCCATCCTGCTTAGAGCAGAGCTGGCCAGGAGTGCAGCAGAGTTCACAGTGGGGTGGGTACAGGTGGCTTGGTGGAGTGGACACCTTTATTTTGACCCTTACCATCAGCTCTCAGTACTATTTTGTTTACTGGAACCACATGGGACACAGAGTAGTTTTCTTGTTGTTGATAGAACCCTCCCTCTTCAATTACATACATTTATTTTAACAATTGGTTTTTAATTAATTGTATAAGAGCAAATGTTATCCTCTCTACTGGCTAGTCTTTTTTTCCTTCAAGGCTGTGTGGTTTGGTTGGGTGGTGGTAGCACACACCTTTAAGCCCAGTACTTGGGAGGGAGAGGCAGGCAGATGATGGCCTGGTCTACAGAGCAAGCTCTAGGACGGCCAAGGTTACACAGAGAAACTCTTAGACAGACAGACAGACAGACAGACAGACCGTGCATGTGGTTTAGATGACACATAATTATATAGGACACACAGGGGATACTCACAGGCTTTTGATCTGTGTTTTTAAAGCGTTTCATAGGTTACTGTCTGTCAGACCAAGTTCTCCATTTATAATGTGGCCCAATTATCAAAGCTGGGATGTATTATCATCGCCAGTTACTCTTGTCAGTTTTTCGTGGCTCAGCCGTGCTTATGTGTACTTTCCTGTAGTGGAGTGGATACATTGGACTAGGCTGCTGGGTTAACAAGCTCTCTGGAGAGCACAGCTGTGGTGACGAATGCTGAGCTGTGCTCTGGAGCTATAAGGTTGTTTGCATTTTTTTACCAAAGCCTACTGAGATTTATTGACTAGGAATATTTTTTTTAAGAGTTAAACTCCTAACCTTCAGGTGAGGTAAAATTTCTTTTATGTGATTATTACCTGGGGATTTGCAGGCATGGGATGTTTGTTCATTCATAAGTTCCAGACACTTTTTTTATTGTTCTAGTTCCAGTACTTGTCCCTCCTCCTAGTTTTCTTGGATGACTTATTGATATTCTTTAAGAAAGCGTTCTGATACACTCTCACTGACTTCTCCACCATGTATCCAACTTCGAAATGTGCACAGGTCTCCTGCTCACCTGACTTACTCCATAAAGAGTTCCATAGTTAGCACTTAGGAGTCTGTGTCTCAAAAAGTTAGTGTGTGTGTGTGTGTTTATGTGTGCGCGTGCACACACACACACACACACACATATGTATCTGTATAAGCACTGTATATGTGCCTAGTGCCTGCAGAGGCCAGAAAGAGGGCATTAGATTCCCTAGCTGAGAATCAAACCTGGGTCTCCTGAAAAAGCAGCAATTGCTGTCAAACACTGAACCATCTCAGTAGCCCCAGGTGTCTGTTTTTAAAGGATCTCAGAGGATGTTCTAATACTGCAATCAGATGGTTGTTATATATAATTCATTCTAATACAGCTTGAGTATCTATCTTAATTTATGTTTCTATTGCTTTGATTAAACACCATGTCCAAAAACAACTTGATGAGGAATGGGTTTATTTCATCTTACAGCTTGCTGAGCCCCTTATCATCCAGGGAAGTCAGGACGGGAAGTCAAGGCAGGAACTTGCTTGCAGAACCTGATGCAGAGGCCACGAGGGGGTGGTGCTTACTAGCTTGCTCCTGTGGATTGCTCACCCGCCTAGGGGTAGTGCCACCTACACAATAGGCTTGGGCCCTTCTTCATCAATCATTCATCAATAGAATGTACCACAAGCTTGCCTGCTGGTTGTAATGGTGGAGGCATTTTCTCAATTGAGATTTCTTCTTACTAAATGACTCTTAAGTTATGTCAAGTTGACATAAAACTACATAAGACAGTGTCCCTAATCCAAACACCCAGAGTGCTTCAGAATCAGACTTGGGAGACAGAAGATTCCATATTTGATCTCATGTCCTGGGCTGCTAAAATGCTGTGTTGAGCTAGCTGAGGGTATGTGTGCAGACAGGGTCTGGGTGAAGTATAATGGAATATGATGTTCAGTCTTGGGACCTCCTGTCCTCAAGGTAACTTTTTTTTTGGGGGGGGGGTTTGGTTTTTCGAGACAGGGTTTCTCTGTGTAGCCCTGGCTGTCCTGGAACTCACTCTGTAGACCAGGCCGGCCTCGAACTCAGAAATCCACCTGCCTCTGCCTCCCAAGTGCTGGGATTAAAGGCGTGAGCCACCACCTCCCGGCTTCAAGATCATTTTAATTTTCCAAAACCCACTAAAAACAACCAGCCAACCAATAAAACAACCAAACAAAGCCCCAAATACAAAACGTTTTTGATTCTAAGTATTTTGTATAAAGGATTCTCAACCTGTATCTCATTCCTTGAGGTCCTTTATATTACACCTCCATTAAAAGGTTTTAAAAATCTATTTACTTCCTTAATGATATCTACCAACTCATAGTTTAAATTCATGAGTGTCGTTAAATGTCCACTGTGATGAGACACAGCAGAAAGCCTCATGGTTTATGCAGCGTTTTTACAGAGATAGTCCACCATGAGCTCCCTGGCTTTTGACAACTTTTTTGTTCCCTTTTGTTGTGAGAGAGATGGGTATGTTGCCATTGACACAACAACAGAATCCATGGGCTTAAGACCCACAGTGTTTTGGGGAACCCTAAGTCAGAGTTTAGTCCAGTCTGGAGAGGATGGGCACGTGTGGGTGGCTCGCCACCTCTTCTGTTGCTCATTTTCAAAACTCAGGTGCCTTTCTAAGCACCTCCGATCTTACTATATTTTGTTTTAGTTTATTTCACTATATTTGTCTGGTGAAGGTGGCATTTTCAGGAGTAAACATTCAGTTGAAATAGCCTACTCTGCCCTCTGAGAGGCCTTAGGACATTTCCTAATTTTTCTTGCCTCATTTCCAAATTCTTACATTTTCCAGGTGAAGTTGGTCAGTGATGCATGTCCTTCCCTTGATTACATGTGACATCCATCACCTGTTGTATGCTTTGGCACTTGATTCTTCCCCATGCAGCCACCTATGCTGCTGTATAGGTCCTTAAGTACACACAGTCTGTCTTCCTAAGAAGTTGGCAAGACTGATCTGTGGTTACACCATGGGTGTGAAACAAGCAGCATACTTTCTTGGTTCTTCCTTCCCTTTAAGGATGTTCCTTCTGTGTCTTAACACCTTGTGAAGGTTGTTGCCATCATGGCCTGGGTAAGGAAAGACAGACAAGGCTGGTGGCACACCAGTTTGGATTCCCAAGTCGCTTTCCTTCCCCATGACCTTGCTGATAGTGCCTCCAGCCATATCAAACCGTCAGTCACCTGACAAGTAGCACTGCCTGTCTGTTCTGTTCATTTGTGGTCACTGGTGTCGCTTTCCCAGGGCAAGCTGAGTGTTACTGGCTTTCATACAGCAGCGTCTTGTCTTCCCAGTTGGGATGTGGTCATTGAGAGATGTTGGAGGATAGTCAGTGTCGGCTTCGTGTGGTGTGATAGCCCTTCTCCTACAGAAGGAGCGTGCTGCTTTCCAGGCCGCCTCTATCAGATCTCTGCGCCCACCCAGACCCCTGACGACATGTTGGCCCGGGCACACTTCTTAGGAGAAAACAGATCCCTTGATCTGCAGTGTTTACTTTATATACTAAAACAATCCTTATTTCTTCTTTGCTGTTCCTTAGGGGGTGAGTGCCCTTCTTCGAGGCCATATTTACAGTGAATTCCAAGTACAGTGACCACTGAGATTAAAAACGGGCACATGCCTCCTTGGTTGCTTTGTGGAAGAACTCAGTTTTCTCAGACTTGGGTAATTTCTTCTCTCCTAGATTTGAATGCTAATGAAAATTTTCTTTAACTTTTCGACATTATGTGAGACTTGAGCATGTTTTATGAAAGGCACATTATACTCTGTAGAAAGACTGGAACTCTATAGAGTTGATTGCAAAGCTAAAATACAAGCTTGTTAGAAGACACTGCGCACGATCCTCTCCATCCTGCTGTGGCTCCCGCATATCTGCAAAGGGAGCTGTCCTGTGTGGCTTCTCTTGTCATCGTGGCAGCTATGGGCGTGTGGAAGGTCCCTGACTGATGTGCCTACTTGTTTGTTTTTAGGTGGGCCATGCACAGACGCAGCTCAGGTCTCCTTAATCACAGCAACCAAAAGATCCTGTGGTGCAGGTATGTACACCGTTCCTACCCGAGTTCTCCTAGAAATCGGCCGCTGCTTCTAACTCGGGATGTATGCTCCAGGGGACGGTCTAATCCTTTGTATCAATTGCAAAATGATGTACTTTGTACTTAATGTTGGTTAGAATTTGGCTAGAAGTGAGAATAATGTCGCTAGGCGTCATGCTGCCTGCATAGTGCTGGCAGCTAGGTCCAACAACGTGGGCATCAAAATTTATCAACTTGATAAGACCTCATAGATGTTAAGCTATGAAATAGGCATGATATACACAGTACTGCCCAATTTGTCTAAGTTCTAGATTTCTTAAAAGCAATGTTTAAATAATAGGTGATGAAAGCATAAAGAAGCTTTATATAGAAGAAAATACTGACCTATTCCAGTAGCTCAGGAGCTTGTGAGATTACTTGTTGATGCTGAAGCTGTGAGGTCTGCTGAAGTCAGTCTTTGCAAGTGGCCAGTGCCTAAACATCACTGCATCTGTGACATTTTTATTAAACATGAAGTCATGAATCTTGTAGACCTTTAAAAAGCAGACCTAGTGGCCACTGCTCCCGTAGCCTGTAGCTTAATTTATTTTAAATGGTGTGCCTTTCTAGTAACACTACCTGTTTAAAATATCTCAAGGTTTGTATTCACATTATATTGTTTTCTAAAGGTCACAGTCGAGATGTTCTTCACTTAATTCAGTCTTTTTAAACTCTCAAACAGAAAGAGCATAAACTGTTGTCACTTAGAGCCTTAGCTCCTGTGAATACAGTTGCCGAGGACATTACCCACACTGTCTGTGTGAATACAGTTGGTGAGGACATTACCCAC